GCATACAGGAGGAGGGCACCCATGGGGAGACAGAGGCGTGAATAACCGAGCTTATGAAGTACAGTCTCCTTAGGTTACAGAGAGCCTGCCTGATGCTCAAAGGAAGCAGGGGCTTGTGAAGTCCCCGGGGCTGCAGTGCAGGGCCGAAAGAAGAATCTTAGCCTGTGATGCCAGGCTGAGGTCTGGGAGAGAGCGTGGCTTCTGAGAGTCCAGAGTTGCAGGCACTTAGGCTGCAGTCTTTCCCTTTGCACTTGGAGTAGTCAGACACGCCCCGATACGCCCCGACACGCCCCTGACACGCCCCCCGCAAGTCTGCACTTGCCACCATGGCTGCTTTTGAAGTTCATCTACCTAGGCCCTTGCACTCACAATAGCTGTCTACTTGGGCCTCTCAGACGATAGTTCGTAAGATGCTCAGGGGGAAAGTGGCGTCACCTCCTTTTCCAGCTGCTTCATCACTGCGGAAAACCAGTCTTAGTGTGCAGATTTCAAGTAAAATCCAGCTGTCTCCAGAGCCCTTGGTTGATCTGCCTCCATCAGAACAAACCACCATACACGCAGTCTATTAAAGAACATATCCTAATGAAATATTAGACTAATAATATTTAATAATTAATAATTCAAGGGTTAATGATTAACAGTTAAATAACCAATAGTTAAATTATAAACAGTGACTGTGGGGGAAGCTATTTAAGACATTATTTCTGCTTAGTCTTTTGGCCACAGATAACTAAGCATGGAAAGGACGGCACTGATCAGGAAGAGGACTGTGCGTTTTATGTATTTTGTGATGTGTAGCAGATGTGAACTGAAAAGACATGTGACAGGGGCAGAGGCTGTAACCACTGTTTACCCCGGGGTAGGGGGCCTTGCTGGCCCCTCCCCCTTCCTCTGTGCAGTGCTAGGGGAGTAGATTGGATGTGCTGCCCGGTGAGCCACCAGGTCCCATTTTCCTCCCGCTCCCCGCCCTTCTTCAGCTGTAACCCCGGCGGTGTCTACTCTTTTGTTTGTGTCTACAACCCACATTACTCTTCGGGCAAAGGGAAAGACTGGGAAGACGTGGGCCGTCTGTGGCCTCACCTGGCTCGTATTCCAGTCTCTGGTACATTCTCCCGACGGCCAGCAAGGCCTTGGAAGGCAAGAGGTGGTTGGGGAAGTCAGATTGCTCCTAAGTAGCATAATGTTACCATTGTAGTCCTGATTTCCTTTAGTGTTCCCATGTTAGATGTGGCAAAATCAAAAGCAGTGTGCACTCAGACCCCCTTGCCTTCCAGCCCTCTCTTGTTATTGCCAGACTCAGGTCCCCACAAAGGAATTATAGTTCTTCATATGCCTTGATGAGTTCCCTCTTTCCACGGCTTTGATTTAAGGAATTGAACCAACATTCATCTGGTGAAGGACTGCTAAAATGATAGGAGCAAAGAGGGGCTGTGGACAACAGACATAATGTGAACAAATCAAGTGTTTGATGTAAACAAACCATGTGAGGACTGCAAGTCAGGAAAGGGGAGTGTTCTGGAAAAATCTCATAAAAAAAAACCAAAATAATACAGAAAGAAAAACCTGGCTGCCAGAGGAGGAAGGTGCCCAGAGACTAAAGAATCAGGCAGACGGAGTATGATAAAGCAGCATGGAGGACTCACAGATGGACGTGTAGGCAGGCAAACAGTGGATCCCCATGATTTGGGGGAGGAGGAGGGGCTTAGACAGTAGCCATGAAAACAGGCTTCACCCAAGTTGCGGTTACTTGGTTTATCTCAAGTGGCAGTGAAGTTGTCAGTCACTTTCGGGTGGTGGCAGTGCCAGGGTCTTGGTTGTAGAACCCCACATGCCAGGAAGCTGGAAATAGTGTTGCAGGAAAAACGCATGGTGGCTACTCAGGGCAGGCATGGTGGTTGCAGCTCAGGATGGTTGCAGGATGGCTTACCTCAGGTGAGACAGATGGACGAGGTTGTGAACAGAATCGTGTCCACTGTGAATTCCAGGGCATGCGATTGTGAGTGTATTTATTTAGAAATCAATTCTTTGTAAAGGTAATTAGGAAAGGGCTCATATGCACAGGTCCTCATCCAATGTAACTGTGTACTTGTAAGAAGTAATGATTACGGCTTAGACACACATGCCAGGAAGACCATGTGATGACATGGAGAAGGCCGCCTGTAAGCCAGGGACAGAAAGCTCGCATGGAGGCAGCTCTGCCAGCACCTCATTGCCACACCTGCAGCCTCTGCAAATATGAGAAAATGAATTGCTGTTGCTGCCGCCTTCCAGACTGTAGCATGCTATGACAGTGTCCCTCATAGGAGGAGTATGTGTGGAGAACTGTTGAGGAGGAGAGCAAGCCCAAAGCTGAGAAGCAGCAAACGTAGTGTGATGTACCACAGACTGTGCATCTGGTTACTGCTGTGGGCACCAGCCAGCAGGCTGGCTTGGAACTTGAGTTGGCCATGCAATCTCTCTTCACGTGGAGATGGAGTCTTGTCTTCAGGAGAAGATAAGTTCTCGGGACTGTGATGGTCCTTTGGTGTCACTTGTTGACTTTGAGATGGAGTCTTCTTGGTCCTGTGCCACCAGGTCTGAGGTGATGGGTGAGGACACAACCAAACCAGAGAGAGGAGGTTGTAGAGACTCTCTTGCTGCTTTTATTTTGAACTACTGTGCTAGACATGCGGGGGACCACAGACAGCTGCTGTCCAGTTTATCTTGGGATGGCTGGAATGCTAGTGTTTCCCTTATTTCTCTGTAAGCAAGAGAAAAATCATTTTTACAGCTGTTTTAGCTTTGCAGAAAAAAAAATGTGAGGATAATATAAAAATTTCTATGTGACCCGTAGCTATTTTCTCCTATCAACATTCATCTGTTAGAATTATTGGGTAACACTGATGCATTATTAGGTCTATATTTCATTCAGAGTTCCTTAATTTTTATGGAATTTCCTTTTGTCTAAAAAATAAATCCCATTTATGATAACTTGTTACTGTTAGTACTCTAGCGTGCTTTGCCTCCTCTTGTCTGCCATTTTCTCACTTTCTTCTTGACGATCTTGACAATTCTGGCCAGATGTTTCGCCTGGTATTTTAATCATGATTATACTGTAGTTAAGGGTTACTGGGAGGAACACAGAGGCACATGCCATCTCCATTACAGCTCAAGACACCTACTGTCAGTGTGACAGGTCACACTCTGATCTTGATGGGTGGTTGGGTTAGGCTCCCTTATTAGAAGGTCCCCTCAGTGTACAGTACTCTTCGAAACAGTCACCATGCACTGCACACACAGAGAGTGTGGGGACCCGAAGGCTGTTGCAGTGTTTAGAAGGACATGTAGGTCCTGATTTGGGAAGAGTCGCAAACCAAACTGGACTTCACAGCCCCAAACAAACAGAAAACAAAAAGTCATGCTTTTAAAAAGGGTATTAATGTTTTGTTTCTGGAAGAAGTGCCCCATAATATTGTTACGAGAGGCAAAAGTTCTTTAAACTCTGTGATATGATGAGTAAAAATACCTCCTGCCAGAGGGAGGGCTCAGACCTTTGTTGATCTAGCAGGAGCCGCCAGCCCTTATCTGCATCACTGGGTTTTTGAAAGCCATTGGTGCAGCCACAGAAGAAAGATTACAATTGTTCCGCTTGTTGTTATTAATTGAGAAGTGATAGGAGGTGGTGTTCAGAAAGGCATTGCCTCAGTGGTTACCTCTGGACAGGTACAGTCCAGCTGAGGGTTCACAGCCTGGCCTCAGGTTGCTGATTCCAATACTAATTTTGTTACCTCCCTCTAGTGGTCAGTTCTATTTTTAATGTTTTCATTTTTTTCCCTTTTATTGAAAATAGATTTTTTTTTCCTCAAACAATATGTCCTGATTATAGTTTCCCCTCCCTCTACTCCCCCCCCCAGTTCCTCCCCTCCTCCCCTCCCCTTTCTGTCTCTCATTAGGAGAGAACAGGCTTCTAAGAGATAACCACAGAACATGACAAAATAAAATATAATAAGATGAAACAAAAACTATCATATTGAAGTTGGATGGGGCAACCCAACAGGAGGAAAAGGGCAGAAACAAGAATCAGAGACCTATTTGTTTTCAAAGCCAAAAGATTGTGAACAAAATCAACAGCTGAAAACAAAATTTTAGGCAATCCTTATCTTACGCTTTGGGACATTTTTTAAAAGTGTTAAAATGCATAGTGATCAAATTTTTGAGAAACTGTTTTTTTTTTTTTATGAGAGAGTGTTTCAGTTTTCCATTATTTTGTGTGAGTGGTGTTGAAGATGTGAGAGGTGAGGAATGGTGCGTGTAGAGGACATGTTGGGGACCTGATTTGTTTGCTTACAGTGTGTATGGATGCCCTAGGAGCAAGTGTCTATTCTAGAGAGGTCTGAAAGTCACATAGCTTTTCAAGGTGAGTGGTACCTCACCTTGAGAAATTGTTTGCCATTGCTTCACAGGTAAGGTTTTATCATGTAGTCAAAGAAATTATAGTTTTCTAAAAATGCAGCTCCCCCCACCCCTCCTGCAATAGCTTGCTGTTTCTGGATATTCCCAGAGAACTGAAATAATTTGCCTGATTTTGAGAATGCCTTTTGGAGTTTTTTTTTTTTCTGGAAATACTGGGCAATTATGCAGGTCATAATCCAGTCTCCCTTCGATGTTGGTGCTAGGGCTCACACTTGGGGCCTTAAGGATACCACTCCACTACTGAGCCCACCCACCCTGCCTCCATCCTTTGAATGAGTAATAGTTTGTCTAGACCTGCAGTTTATGTTCCCTTGCAATCCACAGGGCCTGGATTTAGAGAAAGACAGCTCATCCTGTGTAAAATCTTTGTGTGGCCCTGAGCTGAGCAGAAATAGGGAGGACTCTACAGAGAATTTCGCTCAGGGCAGTAGTCTGCTTAGGACTGGTTGCGATCCCTTTTTATACTTGACACCATGGGGATCCTGAGACTAGGTTACCTGCTTTTCTGAGTAGTACCTTAAATGATGCTGACTGTGTCTTGCCCTCAGCTTCATCTGATCCACTGGAATTCCACACTGTTTGGCAGCATCGATGAGGCAGTTGGGAAGCCTCATGGCATCGCCATCGTTGCGTTGTTTGTCCAGGTAAACTGCTACATGTTGTTTAGAGATGTTTTCTCTGAGTCATTTTGTCGAGTACTTTTTCAGTTAACATTTTATTACTTGGAGGTCAGATTAAACACACACAAACCCTGATAATTTAACAGTTCATGAGATTCGAGCTGCATTTCTTGCAATAAAAAGTTCACTTGTTTATTAGAGTTTTTCTTCATTGTGGGGCCTTTGCAGAAACAACTTAGAAAATGTCTCCTGAAGTCAGGCTTCATTTTAGCTAGGAAAAGATATTCAGAAATTTTTTTTCAAACCCAGTAATATAGACTAAAATATCTGAGAAAAATCATGTTGTGAATCACTTTGCCTTTTCGTTAACAATAATTTCCACTCAGAGATGATTTGAAATGGTTTATAGAAAACAATGATAAAATAAGTCTGTCTAAGACCATGGCAGACATAGCCAGTCTAAGAAGGGCATTGAACTCTGTGATGACAGAGACTGTTACGTGGTTTAGCACACACATACATAAATGGAACCATGTGCTATGAAGTGGAAGTTTGAAGATATCCTAAGGTGAGCGTTAAACTTATCCTTAGCAACATGATGTGGTAAAGACTTCTTAGTGGTGAGGGAATTTTACGTAGATGGAGTTTCTTGTCCCACCTGGTCCTGCAGCCATTCAGTCCCAAATAAACACATCGAGGCTTATGTTCATTAGAAACTGTTTGGCCATTGACTCAGACTTCTTATCGGCTAGCTCTCTCTTACTCAGTAGCCGATTTCTATTTATCTAAGTGCTTCCACCTGGTCTTGGCTTACTGGAGAGTGCCCAGACCCGTTCCCCCTTCAGCGGCTGCATGGTGTCTCCCTGGTATTTCTCTGCATCCACTTCCCAGAATTCTCCTCATCTCCTAGCCCACCTATACTTCCTGCCTGGCCAATCAGGGTTTTATTCATCAACCCGTAAGAGAAACACATTAACAGCGCACAGAAGAACATTCCACCATCAGTTTTGGCAGACCTTGGGTCTCACGAGTGCATCCAAGGCCCATGGACAGAATTAAAGCAAATCCTTGCATTTTAAAGTGAATCCTCTTCCTGCTTTTTATTTCATGCCTACATAGGCACAGATCTATACTCCTTTAGCTTTGCAAGGGAGTGTATAGGTAGAAAGCAGTCACAAATTATTGGCAGAATGGTTTTAATTTTTGCTGTATTGAAAACTTAAAAAAGACATTTTTCTATAACCTGGAAAAGTGAGTGGAACATCAAGCTGGCAGAGTTGAGCAGTGGAAGGCATTATGTCATCATTTAGGAGCAGGAATAAGGATGATAAGCACAGGAACACCCACAAGTCATTATATGCGGGGAGATAGGGACAGGTGAGCTTCATTTTCAGACTTGGTACACAGCGGATTTGTGAATTGAATTAGGTGTGATAGTTTACTGTTTCCATTGTCTGATCCTCCATGTCTAATAGTCTGGGAACTATAAGGACCTGGGTTGCAAATCTAGCCTCCTGGGACTGGCCCCTGTGTTTGCAGGAATCAGCTTGTGGTCAGGGAAAGCCCCAGAACATGCACAGACATTTACCTCCATGCACTTCCTTTGAGGAAAGACTTAGGTGACTGTGTAAAATGTTTTCTTCAGGAAAGACTTACATAACCCTCACTAAGGAAGGAGTGGCTGATGAGTGTCTGGGGGAGCAGGGAAGAAAGGGACTGGGTGTCCATGCCCCAGGCGGGTGCCCTGGCTGCAGTAATGGAACACCAGAGGAGGAAGTGGGGTGCTGGCTCTGACTGGGACACAGGAGTGCCAACGGGGCAAATGCTAGTGGCAGGTTTGAGGTCTGAGGTCTTGTGCTTTGCTTCGGAGCAAGATGCGCTAGCACAACAGTTTAAAAACTACAGAACAGAGATGGATGGTTAGTGCAGGGTCACAGTAAAGGAGAAGGGCAGGTGTGAGTGGAGGACATCTGTCTCAAGACTTGGCCATAAAGCCTCACGCAGAGCAGCCATTTTCTTGGGTTCTGCACCCCTCATTCTTCTGAGGCACGCAAAGCATGTTATAGAGTAACAGGGACCTGAATGCAGGGTCTGGCTTGGAAACAACCAGGGAGAGAGATAATAGACAATCTGTGATGCTAACCCATCGGTTAGGTGAAGCAACACATGAGGGATTATTCTCCATCCACGTAGGAGCAAGGAACATTCTAGCAAATTATTGTGATGATCAACTGAAGAGCGGGTGATTTAGGAGGCTCCAGGGATGGAAGATCGGAGAGTAGTGGAAAAGATGTTATTTGGTTTAATGAGAAAGGATGAATCAAGGGGCTGAGTATGTTGGCTGCTAACACTCAGTACAAGGAGAGAACAGAGGACAGAGGGCTGGATGGATGTAAAAGTGTCATCAAAAAGAGTGGCCTCTTGGAGTTGAAATTTCAAAATGACAGGAAGGAGGGATGGATGTTAAAGAAACCAGTCAGATCATGGAGCTAAAGTGTGGCAGTGTCTGATGTAGAAGCTGAACCAGTCAGCGCATTGTGAGGGCTCCCAGCTGGACCACTATGTTGTGTGGCTTTACGCTGTTCTGATGTGGTCTCCTCTCAGTGCTTACTGTCTGACAGGAGATTCATGGTGGGAAAATTGATCCCAACCAGACAGTCATGCCTCCAAGAGCTTCCTCCCGGCGAAACCATCAAAGTGAGGAGGATTCACTTCTCCCGAAGACCAGGGAAGGCTTCTGGTTGAGATGCTGGCTTTTGCATGCATTCATACATTTACAAAAGATGCTTTTTAAACCTTAGAAATTATTTTCTGTTTTTTGAGCCTGTCTCAGGATTTGTTTTTTATTCCATTGAGCTGATTGGCCATTTATAGGTTCATTGTTTCTTTCTCTTGCACACCTCACAGTTGACATTAGGAGAAACAAAGGTGTGTGTTGACATCTACGCTAGCCTCTTACAGGTCATTTTGCACATATATGTGTAAGTAGAAAAAGCCTAGCATAGCAGTGCCTATCTACCTGAGATAATTCATGCCCTTCCTCTCCATTGTTACAGTCCACTAGAGGTAGGCTGAAAGTAGCAACCAGGTGGCACTCAACATTTACAAAGACAAGAACACTAAGTGCCAGAAAATGTATTTCAAGTATCCATTTTTTTAGAACATTATTTTAATTATATATAATGTACAATTATATATGACACATATAAGACATATAATTATACCGTATATTTTAATGTAAAGTTATGTAGTTTATATTATAATGCATATAAAATACAATTCTATATTATATAAGTATACTGTATATAAAAATGTAAGTTACATATATAAATATTAAAAGTAGAAATAAATATATTTAAAGTAGAAAGCTTTGAAAAACAAGAGTGAAGAAGAGGTTATTGAGTAGTGATCAGCAGTAACCCAGAGAGGTTGTCATTTTGATAACTTTGACATATGAAACATCGTATTCGTGTCTGAATTAATGAAAATTTCCAACTTTGATAAAACTTATGACATCATTCTCTAAATGTCAAAGGCAAAACTACAGTGCAATATATGTTACTAAATAAAAATGAAAAATCTGGGCATGTTGGTACACATCTTTAATCCTAGCATCCAGGAGGTAGAAGCAGAGGCAGGCTAATGTCTGAGGCCACACTGGCCAACATAAGACGTTTCAAGCCAGGGCGAGTTAGAGAGAGCCTGTCTTAAACAAACAAGCAAACAAACAAACAGCAAGAGTTTAGACATGTATTGCATCACTTTAATTCAGAACTACTTAGGACATCTTCCTACAGCAACCTTTTTTATAGTTTTATATATTACATATGACACACCGAGTAATAAATACCCATTTACTTGGTATTATATTGTATATTATAATTATTATTTATTATGTTATACAAGCTTTTAAAACTTTAGTTATGTTTAGTCATTGACCTGATCAAAAATAGAAAGGTCATTAGTTCCCAAGAAGGCCATTCGGGTGGACAGGAGCCCTGCTTCTGCTAGTTATTTTAGGTAAAAGCTAAACATTAAAAGTCTGTATTTGTGATTTGTGCTTTATGTATTTCAGATAGGGAAGGAGCACATTGGCTTGAAGGCGGTGACTGAGATACTCCAGGATATCCAGTATAAGGTAAATCACTATTAAAGAAGTTCTATATGAGTTCCCAGCAGCTCCATAGTTCTCTCGAAGGCACTTACCGGGACTCTGAATAGCTGCTAGAGTTAACAGCTGTGCTTTATTACAGTGATACTGAGGAAGGGACTGGGTTTGAAGTCTAGAGGCACCTGGAGCAAGTTTACTGGGCCCCCAGTCGTCCCAGCATGACGTGAACCACAGGAATTGCCATAATTTCCCCTGGCATCGTAAACCCTGCTGTCGTTTTCTCTTACAAACAAAGCATCCATGCATTTCCGGGATAAACACACTGGCTCACACTGGTGTAGCAGGCTTCAAGGGCCAGGTTGAAAATCCCAGGGGTTCACCTTAAATATAGTATGGTCCAAGGCTTTATGCATAGGAAAACATCTTACCAAGGGTGGGGTTATTCCAAAGGTTCAGAGGCCATCTTTTAGTGGGCAACCAAGGGCTGGTTATGACATCAGGATGTGTAGACTTTGAGCAGCCTGGCCCTGGTGAGTCCAGGAGGTGAGGAACACACTTCCTCTGGCAACTGTTCCTATGGCATCTGTTTTAGTAAAAACGTTTCTGTGGGGCTGACAGGCATCAGTGGTACATTCTACACCAGGCATTATAAGAGAAATTTAAATTCAAAGCAAATAGCCGTAGACTCAGAGCAGATGTATTTATTGGATCCTGATCTCGCACCAATAAGAGTGTCTACTCTCTAATGTTGGGACCTGGCATAGATCTTTAATAATGTTTACACAAGTATTTGTTTTCTATTCAAATGTCCTGAATTACTTTTCCTTTTCCAGGGAAAATCCAAAACAATACCCTGCTTTAACCCTAACACTTTACTACCAGGTAAGCATGTATATGGTGGCCTGAAATGAATGAACATGAACCCTGAGCCCCCTGCCCTGCTTCCTGTAGAGGGCTCATAGCCATGCACGATATCATACATGATTCGTTAGCAAGGTTGCTTTGCAATTTCTGTTCTCTGTAGCAGGTGCAGTTTCCGATCCCTGTTGATAAGGCAGGAAACCTTTTGAATGTTAGGAAGCCCTCTCCACGGCTTCCTTATTCCAGAAAGAACATTCTCAGTGATATCATTTGTAAAATGGAAAATTGCCACCTCAGTGTAATGTCCCTACAACCATCACATAACGGCAAACTTCTAAGACTATCAGACTATTTCTAGAATGAAACAAACTTTGTATCTAATTTTATAAGGTCATTTCCTTACAGCTTCATGATTTAAATGTCCTAATTGTATTTATGTACACGTACTAATTATACACAAAACACTCTGACCTCTGATTGGAGTTCAAGGTGGTTTTTAATGTAGCATTTTGGTCTCCACATCTCTCTGCTTAAATTGTGTGCTGTTCCATAGTGTTTCAAACAAAGCCAGATAGATGGATCCATTGTGCCCTCTTTCTACACTTAGCTGCTTCATCACGAATTTGTCTCCCCCCCACCCCCCCACTGAACATTCACTTTGGTATATTTAATCCTGAATTCATCTTAGGTAGTGCTAAGGAGCTCAAATCCATGACTTGTTCTTTCCTTATCATGTTAGGATTTTAGTAACTCACCACTGAAGAAACAATGCTGAGATGGCTCGAACAGAGTGTTTAAAAACGCAGCCTTAGAAGGCAGACTGCTTGGGTTCAATTCCTCTGACAATTTTGTGTGAAATTACTAATATCCTGTAACTTAGTTTGCCTATATAAAATGGGGCTAATATGTCTCATTCCTTTGTTGGAAAGAGTCAATAAATTGATTTATACTACTCTAAATGGTACTTGACACATAGCTTAATAGAAATCAACTATGAATCAGTTAATATAAAAATGGGTAATAGTTTCCTAAATACGTTAAGCTTGACAGGTAAGTCTGGTGAGCCATTGCTAGAGATCCCTGTAAATATAAAGGGAATTAATAATGTTTTTTAATTTTTTCCACAAATGGTAGTTTAAGACTTTGTGTATGAGGCTCTAACTTAAAAATGTCATCTATCTGAGAAGAGACGGACTACCATTTTGGAAATCATTGCTGGAGTTGTAATTTGGTCAGCTTGCCGTTTGGTAACATTTCCATGTGTTTGCACAGACCCTCTTCTGCGGGATTACTGGGTCTATGAAGGCTCTCTCACCATCCCACCTTGCAGCGAAGGAGTTACCTGGATATTATTCCGATACCCTTTAACTATATCCCAGCTGCAGGTGAGTATGTATTTTGAACCTTTCAGAGTGAAGTCCTGAGGTCAAATGTTCTTGTAAAGGGAAACTGTCTGTTTTAGGCTTTAGTTCTTGTTGGATAAGTCATAGCTTTCAGATGAAAGTTGACTGTTGTGAGCCAGGGAAAGCAACAGAAAGGTCAAGGATGAAGCAAACCAATGCTCACTTCTGATCTCCATTTTAAAAGTTAGTCTTTATAGAGCAAATAGAAATCACTGTGAAACACCAAACTTTTGACTAGTCCAACCATTCCTTTATGTGGATTTTTCCAGAGGTGGGAAAGAGACAGTTTTTTGGAAATAATGACTTTGTTTGACAGGCATGTAATAGTTCTTTCTTAGCATTCAAGATACTGTGATGTATGAGGGTATGTAAGAGCCACAAAGAAAGCCCTGGGAAATTCTGGATCGTTCCCTGGCTTTACTCTTGCTGTCCTTGGGTTCCACATAGATTCTGTGAATGTTAACCAAAGCCATGTGTGAAGACCCACATCCACAGGGAAGCTAAGGTGGTAACCTCATTTGAGTCTAGGAGGTTAAGCAAGAGGCATGGTACCAAAGAAGAAAAAAGGTAAAGGCTAATTAATACACAGTAAGCTTTGGCTGAATGTTAGCTGGGAAAACATGAGTCAGCACCTCTGGTATGTATTTAATGATTTTGAAGGGGCTAGGGTTATAGCTCTGGAGAATGCTTGCCTAGTGTGTTCTGGCTGTGTTCTAGTGTCCTGGCCATGGCCTGACCTATAGGACAGTACATTTGTACATATATGGTTACAGTGTCATCACAGATGTTTGAATGCTTTCTGTCTTTTAGAGATCTAAGAGTCACATTCTCAAAAGCTGTATTTCCCCTTCGTCACCAACTCCCAAATGCTTGAGAAATAGAACACATGGGCTAGAGACATGGCCCAGTGGTTAAGAGCACTGACTGCTCTTCCAGAGGTCCTGAGTTCAATTCCCAGCAACCACATGGTGTCTCACAAACCATTCGTTATGAGATCTGGTACCCTCTTCCACCGTGTAGGCATACATGCAGTACAGAACATTGTACATAATAAATAAAACACAAAGTTTTCTTCAGTAAAGCTTTATGATTATTTTTTATTCTCATCATTTCTTCAACGTGAGAGACTCAAGTCCATTAACTTTTAGATTGATTCCTTGCATTATTTTTTATTTTAAAAATACTTTAAGATTATAATTACATAATTTCCTCCCTCTGAACCCCTCCCATGTAACCCCCCCATTTTTCAAGTTTATGTGTTCTCTTTTCATTAGTTGTTGTTACATAAGTATATGTAAATACATATATATTCATAAATACATAAGCATAACCTGCTTAATCTGCATGCTACTTGTACGTACTTCCCCAGGGCTGGCCATCTGGTGTTGTGTAACCAGTTGGTGTGCCATTCCCTGGAAAAGCTCATCTCCCCCAATCTCAGCATTCCTTGGTATGGCATTAATTCTTTAAAATCTTATGCGTAGCATTTCAATCTTTGTTCCTGCTTGTCTAGGGAACACGTTAAAGTTCCCCATTTTCCCTCTTCTCCATACCTTTCCCTGGTTTTGAACTTTTACTACATCCCTTTCAGCTCTTATTTTCCATAGGACAAATCCTAATTCTATTCTTCTTCTTCAACTATTTGTTTTTATAAGAAACTCTGTCTGAGTGTCACCTGGGCACAGGGGACACACAGAGAGAAACACACCTTTCCTCTCAGAAGTGTTTGGGTACATTGAGAAGGAAAGTTACTGTATAGATAATTACAGTTGTGGTAATGTACAGGCTAGAAGGCCTGAGGAATGATATCAGAAAAGTAGAGCTTTGTTTGGTGGGAATGAAGAAGTTAGAAAATTTGCTCTACATATTAAAAATAGAGCCTTGGGCTATCTAATTTTGAGATTTAACAGTAAACTGGTGCTTCTGTAATAGATAAACCTCCAGTTTTGTTGACCTAGAGTGGATAACTATTTTCTATGATTGTTTAACATCAGTGTGTCACAGATTTATGATCTACCTGAAATCGTATAGGGAATCCCTCATCAGCCTGGCTCTCGGCATGTGAAAGCTGAGCGCCACTGTGAACATTCCCAGGTGTGCCATAGAATGATGTGCTGGTTCTCTGTCCAAGTACGCTCTCAGATGCAGTGTGAAGCCATTCCTTTGCTGCTCTTTATAGCTTCAGAGGGAACCTGGCTTTGTGGTGTCCTTTGGTAAGGCTAGAGGTCATCTAACCCTCTGTCACCAAGTCATATTGAGAGATAAACTGTGCCAACTCTATATGTGTTTGGAAGACATGACTCCTCTTCTCATGAGAATGGCTAGAAGTTTAGGTATTTTGATCACAGGGCACCATGACATCTCCTGAGAAGGAAGCAATGTGTCTTAGGTTAGTGTTTTTATTGCTGTGGAGAGAAACCATGACCATGGCAACTCTTAAAAATGAAAACATTTAGCTGTGTGGTAGACGTGGTCCTGGAGAAGCAGCTCAAAGTTTTATTTCTTGCAGGCAACCGGAAGTGAACTGTCTCACTGGGAGTAGCTTGAGTATAGGTGACCTCAACACCTGCCTCCACAGTGACACATTTCCTCTTACAAAGCCATGTCTCCTAATAGTGCCACTCTCCTTGGGGGCCATTTTATTTCAAACCATTGCACAGTATAAGAGCAGGTTCACATATGTACATCATGTGTTTGCATCTATGAAAGTGCACTTTAGATTGATTTACTAAAATACGATCTTAGGAGAGGTCTGTTTTTGACTTGAAGGTTTTACTCTCTGCTTCTCATAGAATTTCAAAGAAAGTAATGTTAAAAAAATATAAGTATTCCCAAGAGGGAAGTAAAAATTAGAAGTCAAAAGAATGATGTTATAGTCAGGAAAAATCAAGAAGATGTAAATTATTAAAGAGGGTGCAAGGAGAAGGTGAAAGAAATACTGGTACGTAAAACACCAATGAGAGGTAAATAGCAAGCAGAGTCTCATGCTACACAGTTGGAAAAACCAGCTGCTGTACCGCCTCAGTGGTCAGTGTTTGTAACTGAGCTACTGTCTAGCCTCACAAAAGCTGCTGGTACCTCCAAATGCCTCATCGTCATAAGAAACACTGAGAAAAGTGCACTAAATCACGTCACCTTACTACTACATCCACAGCAGGTGCTAGAGAAACAGGAGTGGGCTGAAGCCTCTATGGAGGCGAAACAGATGATTTGGAAGATTTAAATGAGAGTAATTTCTCCCCTTCTTATGACCCATCACCATCAAATATAAGTAAGATAAGAAGTGCTCTAATTATTAGAAATCAAGAAACAACAAAAACTATTTTTAACCTAAATTGTTGTTTAGAAATGAGGTTTACACAACACAATAAAAATGTCAAATGTCTAATATGATAGAAATTTTAAGGTATCTCCTATTTTGGTGGTCATTAAAATGGAGACAGAACCATATAGCATCGCTAGAATATGCTGATGGAACAATGCCGTACATCCATCAAGAGATGAATATATATCAAGAGACGAGGGTTGGTCATTGTTACTCTTTTCTTATCCCACCCTGTCTACGCTTCCCTCTTAGCTTAGCTCTGTTCTCTTATTATCTATATTCTCTTGTTCTTCCTTTTTCTTTTAGCCTGACACAGTGCCACTGAGCAAAGGGGGATGGCTGTATATTTTCTTCTTTGTCTTGTCTTCTCTCTAACCATTCTCTGTTTTATATAAGGACAGACCTTGAGCCGACAGCCTGAGTCAGAGTGTGATGTGTATGTGGTCTGTAGGATCTAGGTCATGTCTGTGTTGGGTATCAAGCCTAGGGCCTTGCAGGCGCTGAGTACATCCTCTTCCCTAAGATGCACGTGCTGTTATATACAGATGAGGAAATATGATAAGCCAGGGACACAGCTGAGTGTCTGGAGGGTTTTATTGCACCACATGGGAATGGGAGGGCTATTACCCTGAAGACTTGGTTCACACCATGACCATGCATGAAAATAATTCAGCTGATCTGGAATGCCGATGGTAGCTTTTCATCTACATCCATAGCTGTGGTGGTTTGAATGAAGTTGGCCCCTGTAGGTTCATGTGTTTAAGACCCTGGCCCCCAGTTGATGCAACTGTTTGGGAAGGATTAGGAGGTGTGGCCTTGTTAGAGGAGGTGTATCATTGGGGACGGGCTTTGAGATTTCAGATGTCAACACCATTCCCTGTTAGCTCTATTTGCCTTCTATTTAGAGATCATGATATGAGCTCTTAGCAGATGCTCCAGTGACAGCCCATTCTTCAGTGCTGCCATGCTCACCACCATGATGGTCATGGACTCTAACCCTCTGCAACTATGAGCCTGAAATCAATTGCTTTCTAAGTTGCTTTGGCCATGGTACTTTGTCACAGCAATAGAAAAGTAACTAACACAGAAGCTGGTACCAGAGAATAGGCTACTGCTCTGACAGGCCTGACTACATTTCTTTGGAGCAAGGTAGAAGACTTTGGGACTTTGGGCTCGGAAAGTTTTTGAAATCTGTAACCAGGGCTTAATGGGCCACCTAGTATGAACTCAGAGGACAGTAGTGCTGAGAATGATGTGCGCTATGGAGGCCCAGCTCAGGAGGTTTCCCTTTGTAACAATATTAACAACTGGGCTAGAGACCATTCTTGTCATATTCTGGCAAAGAATGTGGCTGCCCTTTGCAGGTGACCTAAATATCTGCCTGAGGCTAAACGAAACAAAACCAAAAACAAATGACATGGCTATGGTTTTAAGAGGTCACTTCCAAATTTTGGGTGTTGGCAATGTGACAGTACTCAAAAGCAGGGTCTACCATGAAGGTTTCTTCCTTGTTTATAGGATAAAGATGTAAGGAGAGTGTCAGACTGGTTTCTTTGGCAAAGGAGATTTAAGACAAGTTACTATTTACTGTCACAATATTGACTCGTAGGAGTTATTACTAATCATGCTTATTACTGCAAATCACTGAAAGGGGCAA